AMCMMGACATMCACRYACGGCCTCCTCTAAAGAGATTTTCTCCTAGGAAGTGTATGGCTAGGTTGATTGTCCTCGCGATCGGCATCTTGGTCGAACGGTGAACATCTGAGTTCAGTCTTGCCCGGGGCAACTGGTTCATACAGTGAAGGCCGAGAAAAGGAGTTTGTGGACTGGGCATCTAACGTGGAGGGCGAGACAAGCCCAGGAAGTTCTAGACCAGAAAGAACCACAATAAACCTAATCTGAGCCTCTCAGTGGCCGATTATCTTCACCTGGAAAGGAAAAAGAAGAATGGGGTTGAAAGACAAAGAAAACGGGGCTTGTCAAGTGCAACGCCATCTCATCCGCCCATGCAACCTAGTCAGGGCTTCTTTGTTGCAATCCTAAACGCTATTATTACCTGCAACGGGAAAAAGGGGAATACAGAGACAAAGAAACCCAGCCCATCTGCCGCAATGCCATCTCATGTCCCTGTTACGACCTAGATAGCTCTTCTTTGTGCAGCAGTGCAAGGTGCCATTATCACCCTAGAACTGCGTCTTTAGCGGACCGCATTACGGATTGGACCTGGTTAAGCCGTGGTCGGTTTCGGGCTCTGCAACATACGCGTTTAGTACATAGTGACGATATTTTTTGCGAGTTTAGAGTCAATCTTTCGACGTATGCTATTAGCTGACAAGGCTGCTATTGGGAAGTCATGCATGGTCAATTGCAACGGAAATTGTCGCACCACTTGCACCACTCATTACTTGCGGTTGAAATCCGACTGAGGCTCAGGTCTAATGCCACCTCGGAGACCGCCAACAACAACGTCCGATGTGGAAAGGAGTGTGCGGCTGTGCATTGTAAACGTTGATCACTACCTGGGAAGGACAAAGAATTGAAAGATAAAGAAACTAGGCTCCTCGGTCGCAACACCATCTGCGGCACTGCAACATACCCGTTTAGTGCGTTGTAACGGTATTCTTTGACCTTTGAATCCACTTTACAGCGCATGTTTGCAGTCCGCCTAGTGCGCGACTGTGAACTTACTGAACATGCTCGGCCAAGTTGCCCTGAATCAGAGGGACCGCCCGCAGTAGAAACCTGGCGTAGGTGTTCAATGTAAATACGAGAGGACAAGACCTTTTTACCAGGGCAATATCAAAGCAACCAATGGAGATCCGGTTATCCTCGAGTGTTCGTGGAGTGCAAAGCCCGTCAATGCGGGAAATCCGTCAACCCGGCTGATCACGGCCTAATTTTGTCTCGGTAGGGTGGCTGAAAGGCGGAGTGACCAGAATGGCCGACCTGGGTTTCCTTGTTTCAAACCCCTGCTCAGTTAACCCGGTCAAGGTTAGTGAGTTCGGCCTGGTGGATCGGGTATCTGGCCGCAAATCCTCGTGCCAGGTCCTATTTCCACCGCATTAGGAACATCATACAGAATWTGTGGCGRGTACTGCCTAGTCATACTCGTCCCATAAGTCTTTCCAATTGGCAACAGATTTAACCAGTTCCGACCTTTCCAGGTTTCGCCCGCCTTTTGGCGGCCCTAGCCACCCAGCATTCAACACCTCAGACTGATCGAACATAGCAATGCCCTGGTCTTGCTTCACAGCTGGTTAACCAGCCACAAACTATCTAGTAAGACAGGTGACTTTGGACGGGTTATACTGGCATCGAACCGCGGGGAAGTGGAGCGTCCGGAAGGTTATTAAGTATCCCCAGGTGACAAATCGGTGGATCTAAATCAGTCATCCCGGTCTGGGGTCGTTCCATGCACCATAATCAACTAGTGATTTTTAGTTACTGCGACGGAGATCCACGTCATCTCGCGCACACATGTCGTGTAATGTGCCCAAGAACGGACTAGTCAATCGTGCGTAGACTGAGTACGGGGTTGTGTGAATATTCTGGAAGCTAGTGGGTATACAAAAAAGCCAGGAAGGAATATCCATCTGTCGTCATCAAGCACCTTGGGGAAAACCCAGAAATGGGCACCGCTGAAAGCCGGTCAACTGCGGGTTTGAAGAAGAGATTGGCGGGCAAACCAGCAATATACGGAATCAGCAAGGCTGGTCCCGCCGCTCTTGTTGAGAAGGAGTAAAAGGAATGATGACTGTACAGCCAGATTCAAGCTCTGGTCACACCGGTCATGCAGACTATTCACATTCCTACCTGGTCATCATATCTTAAAAATCGTGCCGAAAGCTCGGAATCGGTCGAGGAATTCCCGCTCCGACCCAACCAGATCAATAAACCGGGCATTTTTGACTTCTTGACCTTTGAGCCCCAGGTCAACCTTGACTTCAGCAGAACATAACCTTGCCCGATCGATATCGTAAAGCTCATGACAGAAACCTCAGCCCAGGGCTATTGTCAGATATTTGGCCTGCTTCTGGTCCAAACAGGGTTTGCGAATGTCCGTGAGTATTTGTTTCTCTGACCAGGGTCTCGCTGAGTTGCCTCATCGTTGCGAGAGCTTCTACATACAGTGAGGGTCGAAACCTCATTCCGCCTCCCTCAAGCCAAGCTTACCTCCAAACCCTAAAGCCAAGGCGCTAATATGCAAGGCTATGTATATATAGATCTATGATGTCATAGGTAGGTAATATATATCTTATCAGATCCGTATCTGTAATATAATATATTTAGAAGACCGTATCGAAGGATACACGGTCGGCGGACCTTTCTAGAAGGTTCCATCTCGGTCGCATGCGCTGTCTGATCTGGCAAGCTGTCAACAGCGACAGCGACTCTTCTGCATTCCTCTCCTGCATCTTGCAGTTTGGCTGCAGGAGTAAGCAGGCTCCGGGTATCATTGACGGCCAAGGTCTGACAAGCAAGACTCTATTGGTACTGTACCGCTGTTCACTGCACAAACCTTACTCCGCTTATTATCATGGGTCACCCCCGTGTTATTGAATGGCCCGTTGGGCATGAGACGGTGTGGGCTAACCGCTTACAGCATGTTGCTAGGTGTATTGGAACCATCCATTCCTTCTTGTAAGGATGACCAATAGTTTCATTTCCTCTCGTCCACAAAGTAGACTATTCCACGGTAACCCACTGTCTGCGTGGCCAAGCAGTGCTCGGCCCACACCCATTCCGCTCTAACGAACATAGCATAATCTGGATACCCAACGCATTACATTCAATGATATCAGTGATCCTTAGCGGAATTCTACGGGATCAGTCCAGTGTAAAGGATAGTTAACAAGGTTAGGGAGGCTGGGCTGTTGGGCGTAGGCAGCATCCGCAGATACGACATGAACCTGGATTTCCTTCCGTATCTGCCCCGATGATTGCAACTGTTGAAAGAAAATAGCGGTCCCCCCATCAGATTCATCGAATTGGATCGCTTCCACCGATGGATGGCGGCCTAGATAGAGCAGCACATCTACGGATGTAAATGAGCTGCAGTGCCGAATTGCTATCGAACACAGTGACGGCGGCAAAGAGGCTTTCACGGATAGGGTGTTACACTCCACACCCAGCCTCTGAAGAGTAGGGAAGTCTCCAAAAGACCCAAACTTTGGGGCCTTATCGTATGGTATTCGGGGGTGGTCATAATCCTGCAGCAGAAATTCTTCCAGGTGATCTTTGTGAAGACGCAAAGCCTTGTATATAGCTGGAGCATTGTAGGGTATCATGCCCATCCAACCGCATGCAGCGCAGCCTTTCGTGTATCGCTGTACATCCGCCAGTCATCATACGGAAGGCTGTGCTTCCGCTGTATAGAGCTAATCCTGGTAGGGAAGGATATTTACTTTTTCTCCGTGGATCTTGTCATCTGCAGCGCGTCTCATTCGCGCATGCTTTGCCACTGTCGACTCTGACATGGCTCATCCCGCAAGCTAACATGGACGTTCCAAGGATCCTGATTACTTTAGAATGAGCCCATATCACGTCGATCATGTATCCCAGTCTATTGAACATGAAACGTGGGAGAACAACTCGGATTACGTGCCAACCCCTGGGTACTGTGTCAGCCCCTACGCCGCACCGTCTGCCTTGAGACCATCCCCATCCTCTGTACGTGAAAATAGCGTCGACCCCAAGAGTAAACGTGGCCCGCATCCTCTCCGATTCCTTCCGTTGCACGAGTGGGAAGAGGGAAGGGTCTATGACGAGGACCCGCCAGCCTGTATCCACTACCGTGTAGAGTGGCGAGTGACAATTAATAATCGGGAAGTATCAATGGACACCGAGGAAGATGTCGTCTTGGCTCCCAGTGCCTTCTGGCAGCTGTCATTGGCGAGAAAGCTCGAGAAAGCGCTTCGACGAAAAACTACCAGCCACCGCCGGGTGAGACCCGATGATACTGTAATCGTTGCATCAATAAGCGATCGCACCAAACGCAAACTGACGAAACGATTTGACGACACCGATATTACTTGGTCGGCTATCGAGAAGCAGCTTCTGACATGGTCAGATCTTTTCTCTAAGGGTAAGGAACTTACGCTGAAGATCAGTTTTAACTACGTAGACGATCATCAGTTTTCTCAGTCCACCGGCCGAAAAGGAGAAAAAAGAGGGAAATCCTCCGTCACGCAAAGAATGCTCGGTGAGCGGGACGCTCAGCTTGATGCGGAGGAACATACTTCAGGCGAGAAGCCAATCTGGCGCAGCGTATATAATCTAGTGCGATGCGACTCATCGACATGTCCAAATGGACCTCATTGTTGGGTGGACCCTATGGGGAAAAAACACGATCCACTTAGATCTCATCACATAAAACGCTTGATCACGCACGTCGAGAAAGGCGGGGTTGTAGAGGGTCATAAGGACGTGCCAGAAGCGGTACGTGACGAATTGTACAGGGAAGAACAAGAGAGACAAGAGAGACAAGGGAAAGACAAGCGCAAAGGAGGTCATGTCGTTGGGACTGGGCCACCATATCCTTGCAATATCATCAATGTCTTGCCCTCTCAATCTGCTGCCGATGGTCTAGATGTCTCGGCTCCCAAGGCAGTGGTTGAACCGACGGCCATCAGTCCATTGGAAATTCCTGGCCCTAGAGACGTAGCCGTGAAGGAGTACGGTGAGTGGCAGATATCGAATGTTGAAAACGACACACTCAAATCGGCATTTCGGCAAGTATGTGATGTGATGCTCGACAATGGTCTCGACCTTGAGCAGGTCTGCAGGGACCAAGATCCAAAATTTTTCATCGAGAAGGGGATCAAAATAGGCATCGCTCGACGTTTCGTCGAAGACATCGGAAAGTGGGCTGAGCAAGTCAAGAAAGTGATTCCTTTATGTGAGATACTTTAGACTGGACGAGTGGTTTCATGCGTTACGGCGTTTTCTTGGCGAACATGATGAGTCACTGTTAGCTGGGTGCTGTGGTCTGGACTGTTATGACAAAGAATCCAAACATAGAACTGGAGATTCGTTTGCATTTTCACGTTAAGGATAGAGCTAAGAATATATATGTCGCATTTAAGCTGTTCTATAGGACAGGAGCCAGCCTGGTCGATCTAGTCTCAGCTTTGACGTCTCGCCAAGCTAGTTTGTTTGTCGAAAATGTCTCTTTCTTGGTCTTTCATGCTCTTGAGACCTGATTTCCGGAGTTGGAGAAGAAATCAAAGGCAGCATCAAACGTTTCAGGATGGGTCCAGCCATCCCTCTTCACGAGGCCTTCGATGCTATCAAAAAAGTCCTGGACCTCATTCCAACCCTCGGCATCTGCAGCATGGCCTTTTAACTCTTCCTCCATGAAGTGATAAGGGCAATTACCTTGGATCCCTATCTCTTGCCAGTGCCTATTTGTATAGTCAGCTTTCGTCGGTGTTACAAGATTCGGAGTCATACTTTTCAACATTGATGAGTGCCTCTCGGAAAGGCACAATTTCATCGTCCCAGGTATTCCCAGCCAATTCGACGGCAAGACGTCTTGTTTTTCCATGGTTCATATGGAACACTTTTGCAAGCAGCGGATCCCTTCTCTCAGTCTCCATCAAGTAAAGCTGGGAAAGAGTCGATTTGAAAATTTGTCGCTTAATTTGAACTTGTTGCTCGGAATCAAGGTCGTCAAAATTGGCTGGACGCTTAAGTAGGATGCTGCCTTGATAATCCAAGAGCGGAGATGGTTGTGCCTGCAGTAGAAGTGGACCGGCCCACGAGCCTTGCTAATCAATGACTGCAGTAATACGATTGTTATCAACAAATAAGTTGGATGAGTGGAGGTCGCTGTGCCAAAGAGTGGGACGGCTAAGGAGGGGATCAATGTCCATGAGACTGGGGGCAATGCTGATGTATTTCTCCAGCAGATTGAGATGCGCACGTGGCTCGTTTTGGGATGTACAGCTCAAAATTTCGTCGGACGGCTTTGGAGCGGCGTACTTTGTTATCCAATCAACTTCGCGCCAACCAACACTCGATGCGTACTCCTTGGCACTTGACCCTTCAAGCAGTTAGACGCCGAAATCTGCATAGTAGGGAAATAATACCTACAAGGACCTCGTGATATGTCCATTGTACCACGCTCTTTTTTCTAGAAATCTCGCTCGATAGGTTGGGGGGGGGGGGGGGGGGGGGGGGGGGGGGGGGGTGGGTGTGGTGTTAAATGACGCTTTAGTACGGGATACAATTGTGTTAAGACGATCAGAACTGAGCAATTTAACTAGGTGCGTACGATATTCAGTCTTCAATCAGAAGAGAAGTCACACTTGTTCTCTCTAACAAGTAGAACATATGGTTTTTATAACATGATAGGGAAATTCAATCCACAAGAAGGAAAATAGGAATGTGGGGTTTCTCTTTGTTTTTCCTTCTGAAGGAGGATATGTCAACATATGTGTGATGCAGATGCACACATAAACTACCTGACCAATCAGATATCTTATCTGATATACCGCTGCATGATCTATGACTGTTAATTATCAACAATCACACCAGATGTAAAAAGTAACGAGTTTCCTAACACTCTCGTATGCCCCTATTAATATTTCAGATTTTTATTGACCTTTCCTGTGACACCTTTCCCGTGACACCCTGCCACATACCTTACGTTGTTGAACAAGTTTAACAACCATGATTCAAGTTTAACACATTTGGTTTCCTGTTATATAGTTATCTTCCACAATCGTGAATCTTTGATCTGATCGCACGATCCCTCCGATCTTATGTTAAGATCGTATGACCTCTTGACCCCGAGCGTGTACGAACGCTTCGCGCACATACCCTAAAGATTCATGCCGACCACCTAAATCCGACAGAATGTTCAATGCAATTATTGAGGATCAATATAAAAAAGCAAAGAATCTTGGCGTGTAGATCTCTTGTGTAGATCAGATCACCCCGCTCTGGGCAATCGTACACTTATGTAGGCAGAGGGTTCACACCTAGATACTAAAAACTCTTTTCGGTATACAAGTATTACTTCACAAATCACGCTTTGTTTATCAGTATGTTACTAGACGCCCTATTAGACATAACGCAGGTATGGGCTAAGCCCTTATAGTAACAGATGGCTACGTCTATCGAAAACATTTCGAGATGCTCTAAGGATGAACAATAGCTTGTTTAGTTTGAAGGGAAAGGCATAATAGCCGGTCGGGCGCTTGAGAATGCAGCAAGTGTAAACAGCGGTGAAATATCGAAAACAGCGGTGAAATATCAAAAACAGCGGTGAAATATCGAGAGAGTAAGCGAGAGAAGAGAAACAAGGAACCCAATCTCAATACAATATATAATTGCTTTTTGTTGCTTCCATATTGCATATTCAGTGCTGTTGTACTCCGTATGGCTGGAACATCACAGGAGAGGAGCATGCTTTCTCTACCCCTTACTTTGCTTAGCTGTATTATTCACGTGACCAGATTGATGGTTTTGAATTCGTCTACGCTAGTAATGTTTTCGGATGACTAAGAATTTTTATGTGAGATCGAAATCAAATGAAGGTCTGATTCTTTTCAACGAATGACGATCTAGGCCATATTTATAGCCTGGAAAATGAAGGTATTCAGATTTGAAATGCTCCTGCATCAGTGATATCGAATTTGTAATCATGATTCCATAGATTTCTGGTGTATGCATGATCATCTTGGCCGAATCACCTATACTGGAAGGTTTATCGAAGGAATGGCCGAATTTCTCCATTCGGTAAGCGGTAATCTAATTCAACA